ACGGGCGGTGCTGGCAGAGCTGAGGGTCTCCAGTGTCAGCCCCAGCTCTGTGCAGCTGCACTGGAGCGTCCCCGAGGGCTCCTTTGACTCCTTCACGCTGCAGTACCGGGATGCCCAGGGCCAGCCCCAGGCCCTGCCCATCGATGGCGGCTCCCGCTCGGTGACAGTGCCAGGGCTGTCCCCGTCCCAGCGGTACCGCTTCCACCTCTACGGGCTGAGGGGAGGCAAAAGGATTGTCCGAGTCTCCACCGACACGGTCACAGGTGAGGGGCAAGGTCAGAGGGATGGAGGGATCACAAAATGGAGGCATCAAGGGATCCCATGCCCATCACACACCCACCAGCGAGCAGCCATTGACTCAACACCATGGGGTCCACCTTCAACCCTTCCACCAACCTATTGACCAGCACCTTCCATCATCCATCATCCACCATCAGCAGCAGCAGCCATCAATTGTCCATTGTCATCCATCATCTCTCTCTACCATGAATCACCATCACCATCATCCATCAATTGTCCATTGTCATCCATCATCTCTCTCTACCATGTATCGCCATCACCATCATCCATCAATCATCCTGCATCCATGTATCCTGCCATGCTTCCTTCATCCTCTGTCCATCAAGGATGTATTTAATGATTGATGAATGATAGGTTTTCCATGGAAAAGAAGGCTGGGAGTCTTGAAGGCATGGCGAAATGTGATAAAATAGAGTCAGAGTGGCTGATGTGGAACTGTCTAGGGGGTTGTGCTATATGTTGGGGATGTGATGGGAAGAATGGATGGATGGATGGATGGATGGATGGATGGATGGATGGATGGATGGATGGATGGATGGATGGATGGATGGATGATCCAATGGATGGAGACATGGGTGAAGTGAGCGATGGACTTTTGGAGGAACACATGTATGACTATGCCCATTATCATCTGGTCTGCAATACAGCCAGCGAAGAACCCCTGCCCTCAGAGGAGCCCCAACAGGAGAAGCCCCAAACTGAGTCCCCGGCATCTGAGGCACTCCCAGCACGGGCAGCCCTGGGGGAGCTGAGAGTGTCCAGTGTCAGCCCCAGCTCTGTGCAGCTGCACTGGAGCGTCCCCGAGGGCTCCTTTGACTCCTTCACGCTGCAGTTCCGGGATGCCCAGGGCCAGCCCCAGGCCCTGCCCATCGATGGCGGCTCCCGCTCGGTGACAGTGCCAGGGCTGTCCCCGTCCCAGCGGTACCGCTTCCACCTCTACGGGCTGAGGGGCAGGAAGAAGATCGACCATGTGTCCACTGAGGCTGTGACAGGTACAGGGGAGGATCAGGATGAGGAAGGGTGGGTGGATGTATGGATGAAGAATAAGGGATATATGGAGAGTTAGAGGGATGAAGGGATGGAGGAAAGGATGATTGGGGGAAGGGATCCAGTGGTGGAGGAAAGGAGGAATACAGGGGTGGATGGATGGATGGATGGATGGATGGATGGATGGATGGATGGATGGATGGATGGATGGTGTGATGGATGATCCCATGGATAGACTTGGGTGAATGGATGAATGGTTGATCTCTGGTGGGATGGACATTGGAAGGGACGCATGGATGCCCATGCCCGTTACCATCTTGTCTCCAATGCAGCCAGCGAAGAACCCCTGCCCTCAGAGGAGCCCCAACAGGAGAAGCCCAAAACTGAGTCCCCGGCATCTGAGGCCCCTCCTGCACGGGCAGTGCTGGGGGAGCTGAGGGTCTCCAGTGTCAGCCCCAGCTCTGTGCAGCTGCACTGGAGCGTCCCCGAGGGCTCCTTTGACTCCTTCACGCTGCAGTACCCGGGATGCCCAGGGCCAGCCCCAGGCCCTGCCCATCGATGGCGGCTCCCGCTCGGTGACAGTGCCAGGGCTGTCCCCGTCCCAGTGGTACCGCTTCCACCTCTGTGGTTTGCAGGGAAGGAAGAAGATTGACCGTGTGTCCACCGATGTCATGACAGGTAATGGGGAAGGAAGGGTGGGTGGATGTATTGATGCAGAATAATGGATATAAGGAGAGATGGAGAGATGAAGGGATGGAGGAATGGGTGATTGTAGGAAGGGATGGAGTGGTGGAGGACAGGATGGATGGATGGATAGCTGGATGGTTAGATAGATCATGGATGCCAGAATGAATGTTCCAGAGTATGAAAATGTGGATAAGTGGATGGATGGGTAGGTTGGTAGGTGGGGGACGGTTATTATGATGAAAGTACCCATGACCATCCCCTCTCCATAGCAGCTGCAGAAGGGCCAGAGGAACTGTCCCTGCCCTCAGAGGAACCTCAGCATGGGAAACCCCAAACTGAACCCCCCACACCTGAGGCCCCTCCTGCACGGGCAGTCCTGGGTGACCTCAGTGTCACCAGTGTCAGCCCCAGCTCTGTGCAGCTGCACTGGAGCGTCCCCGAGGGCTCCTTTGACTCCTTCACGCTGCAGTACCGGGATGCCCAGGGCCAGCCCCAGGCCCTGCCCATCGATGGCGGCTCCCACTCG